CATAGTGCACAGTTAGAGAAAGCTTATGTACTTACAAACATCTCTTGGCAAAGATCACCTTTCGTCCAGTCATGCTGGCTTTGTGTTGCCTGGAGATATCTAATTCATTATCCATTTAATTCATTTCTCAAGTTCACATGAATTTGGGGTACAGGATCCTTAACCGTTTTGCTCTAAGTTACAGAACACTCAAAGTAATCCTGCATGCCCTTTGTATGTTTATATATGTGCCCAAATGTCTAAGAACAAAATCTGCAATATTCTGGGGTTATTCTGTCTCATTTTTTCATTGGGAGGAACAGGAGAGTGGGGGTAGACCATGAAACCTGGAAGAAAGCCCTAGAGGAAGCAGTTAAAGGCAAACTCTTAAGGAAGAAAATTCGACCCTAAATCTCCCAAACATGCCAAAGCCCCACTGAAGTGCCATGCATACTTTAAGGTGATGGATCTCAGAGCCTGGGGATGGCTATGAGCCACAGGCAGTCATTCAGGTATTCACCGAATCCCTGCAGCTGTAAATCCAGGAAACCATATACTTCAGAATCGTGGTAGCACAGAGAAGAGGGCTGAGAGGGGGGTGGGAGAGCTACTCACTGAAGTAAAAGCCCCTTGGTCCACACACGAACTGAAGAGCATCCACCAGCTCAGCCCCGCAAAGGGTCTCTGGTCCAGCTGTGGTGGAGCTGGTGAAGGTGAGCAAGCAGAGCGCCAGGTAGAAGAGATGTGAAGACGACATGATGTGTATCTTTATCTGTCAGAGGGAGAAAAAAAAAAGGTCAGGTATCCTTGTGGGCCTGAAAGGGTGGGACAGCAATATGTTGATTCTCGATTGGTACTCCTTGTCATCATCTGTTAAAACTCTGTCCTAGAAGAGCAGTGTAGCATGAAGAGTCCCCAAATGTCCTGGTCTGAGCCTGTCTTGACATCAGACAAACTGTGGTTAGTCTCTTTACTACTGACTGGATCTTCGGAAGTTCACCTGGGGCTTTTATGAATAGGGTAAAAAGGACTACAAACGTTTATTGGGTGACAAAAGATGCAGCTATTTTAGTGTGTGTGTGTGCACACGAGCGTGTGCGTGAGCGTGTGTGTATGTGGTGGGATTCCCATGCCAGTCTGAATTATCAAACATTAAACTGAACTCAGCTTTGCACTCAAGCTGTTTCAATTTACATACTCTAAAACCTGACTATCTCCAGATGGTACATATATTCATTATATGTATTATTGATCAGAATATTAAATTAACCAGAGCATCATCCTCTGGCCATAGACTAAGAAGATTTTACACTGGCCAGAACAGTACTGCAAAAAATCTATCCTTATAGCTTTTCAGAGGGGGAGGGCAGAGGTGGGGGAAGGGAGAAAAGTCTTACTTGTGAATGTTAGCAGCTAACACAATCACAGGTGGAAAGCTAAACAACAATCCCAAAACAGGAAAAACAGGGAAGATTTAGGAACACATTCACAAAAGCATTGTGACAGAAAGGTGTGATCCCTCTCCTTCTACATCACGAAGGTCATAGTCTGTACCTCCAGAACAAAATGCCCATTGATGGGAGAAAGACATGATGTCTTTATCTAATTAAAGGTGTATGTGAAGTGAGAGCCTTCAGGAGAAAAAAAAACAAAAAACCAACCCTCCACAATGGGGGGTGGGGTGGGGTGGGCTTTCCCATACATTGTTGCTCTCTCAGGTCAACGGGGCGTGGACAGTGGGCAGAATTAGCATTTAATGACGGTAGACTGAGGTGGAAAACCCAGCATGTCTTGCTTCTCTTGATTCTTCTATGCCTCTTTGTGAAGCATTCATAAATCCTGGGATTTAAGACTCTTCTGGGGGGAGGGGCCAGTGATCTACCATCAGTCTGGGCAGGCAGCAGATTTCTCTCTGGCCAGCTCCTCTACTAAAAGTCATGGGAGGTTAGAAGCAAATGTCCATGTTTTATGGCTGCCTTGGGGAAGAGGGTTTCTAATTTCTATTCCTGCCTTGGGGCAGAGTGACAAGCAGGAAAAAGGAGGGAGTTTAAAAATCATTTCCCAAGCTTCAACAGGACATCAATGTAATCCTTATATTCCAAGTTGCTCTCTTCTAGCTCCTTATGAGGAGGTACACACTGAGAGTCGTTTTTAAATGCAGGACACCGGGCTTAAAATCTGTAAGAGCAACAGGAATTCTGACTTAATCTCTGGGAAGCATTCACGGACCACTCTTATCAACTTTATAACAAAATCCACCAAGGGACCTTTGGTTGGCGTAAGCTAGTCCATGGGTAATATCCAAATGGCATCTCTGCCAAAGTCAGGATTCCTGGGACTCGAGTCTCTCTTCATTCTAAGAAGCAGGCAGAGACTATGATGACATTCCAGTTTTCAGTATTTCTACTTGTGGAATCAGCATATAGTTCCTTCCAGGAAGGCCCCCAAGGTGAGTTGCTTCACCCCTTTCAGAGACATATGCTTTCAATATTGTGGAAAGAGTCACCAACAGGGTATTAGGTGAACCACCCTATAAAAGGGCTCATAGAGATATACTGGAAGCTATAATTTTTTAAAGAGGCTTTTTTTTTTGAATCTCACTGTTGAGGTGAATTCATTCAGTCCCAACTTGTTTGGGGAATGCGACTCAGACATTTAGTTTATGGCCACCTTCCCTGTCCTGTGTGAGTTCTCCACTTAATGGCTCTGTATCACTGGCGAATTTTGCTCAACTATTTTAAACCCATTTTCAATTTAGTGGCTAGTCCTTCAGTCTAGCATTTGGAGGGGGTGAGGAACTCCAAGTCCCTGATCCTTGATCTCAACAGGTAAATATTTAAGTAGCGCTTATAGAGCAGCAGGTGATGAAAGGAACCCTCTGCTCTCAAATCATCAGGAGCAGAGGACGTGCAATTACTGGGGCCGTACATCCCTTGGTACCTTTGCTTGGTAGGATTTCAGTATGGAAGGACTCCATCTCCATACAATCAAAGACACCAGATTTTCTAGAAGTGATCTAGAATCTATTCATTCCTCTTAGTTATAAAAAGAAGAAAGGGGAGCTTCCCCTTTAGTATTTCTCATGGAAATTTGAAAAATCCAACCCAATAGGGCTTCATGGTTCTTTGTGAAAGGGCAGGCCTGTAATCCCCATAATTGGTCTTAGAGAACACTTGCCTACACTCTGGCAACAGATCAGCTCTAGAATGAACATTACTCCAGCAAGCCCATTTCTGAAACACTGCCCCCTACCCCTGCTCAATTTCAGATAGTGGTGAAGGCCAGGCACCTGCAATGGTTAGTTTGGACCAACTCCACAGGAACTGTTACTCAATCTCACAGCCTTTGTAAATTTAGACTGTCACAAGCTGTCCCAAACTACATTTTAATAGTTATTTTAAGGGATAGTGCATTTAAGTACGGCAAGACCTATGTACCTATAGAATTGAAAAACTGAAAATTACTTGAATCAATTATTTTTCCATTCTGCATGGAATTATACTGAAAACCACTGTCTGATAAATATCAGTACTTACACTCCTAGGACCTCTGTTACATTTTTCTTTAGCTCAGAGACTAATCTAGCACACCCACAGAAAATCAGAGTTGATCACATCATGGTCCCCAAACAGAAAACAATAACAGACTTGCTTAGGAGTTTTAAAAAGTCCAAAACAAGTCTCCCCATATGTTCTCCATTTCCCCAGCCCCTTATTTCATCAACCACAAGGAAAACGAGGAGCTAGAAGCCATAGGTGTGATAGGAAGAGGACAAGGAAGGGCCTGAGCAAGAAAGGACAAAAAAAAGCCAATCCTGAACTCAGAACACTTCCCTCAAAGATCTCTGACAAATCTATGTCTCCAAGGGCCTTTCTGTGTTAAACAAGTGAGGTATCAATTGATTCCAGATGTCTGAGCAACAACGAAAATGGCTGATCAAAATGCAAGGGCAATAGTTATAAGTTGGTACTCACTGGAGGTGCGGTCATTTTGGTAGGTCCCGGGTCGTTTACACAGCAGGTCAGGAGTGGGTACTATGAGGCTGAGGTGAATACAAAACTGAGGACTTAAGAACATGTGTTGTTTTGTGGGTGGGGTTTGTGAAAGCATCTAGTTACATTAGGACACCCAGGCAGGTATGCTATGAGCCTGGGTAAACTGCCTTTTGTCCATTCAAACAATGAGCAGATTGCACAGCTGGGAGTTGGAGTCCATCCTTTCCCCCAAGTGAAGCCACTGATTTCCATTGTATGGCTCTCTATCTTGGCTACCCAGAATAGGGATCCAAGTTCCAGCTCCTTCCCTTCCTCCCCCACCTTCCCCTGGCTCAGGCACTGGGAAGTACCTTGAGACTCACAATACAGCCAGCCCATGCCCTGTGTGTGCCGCTCTATGCAGCTGATCTCTATCCCTTGAGCTACGATTCAAAGACCACCACGCAGCAGCTCCCTTCAGCCATCTCCTGCTGCAAGTGCAGGGAAAAGTTGAAGCGTATTGCCAGCTCCGCGTCTGAAATGTTCTGCAGACCCAGCACGGAAAGTTCATTTGGAGCCGATTTTCCAAAGGCAAAATGAATGCCTGCCGAGGTAACATTCTACAGTCCCTTTGGGAGACACCAATCCCAGCTGCCAGACCACACAGCGTATATGAACGCTTCCTGTAAGGTGGCTGGAGCTCGCTGGCATCGCACAGAGGGCACAATTAGGTGCCTGACAAGGTTGTCTCCCTAAGTCCCAAAGCCACTTATTTGCCTAAGGAAAGTCCTAGCAAGGAAGCGTTTGAAAGCAGTACAGAAACGCTGCACTCTTTGACTGGGATCTTTTATGAATTAAGCCCTCCAGCAATTGCCTCCGAGGAGCCAGTGACAGCGGCTTAGAAGTGCTTGCAAATTGAAAAAACACAAGTCTGGAAGGATATAATTTTGCTGAGAATGGAAACTTGAAATAGGGCCAGTGATGGGAAGGAGAAGGCAGTGCACGGACAACAGCAGCGGCAGCGGCAGTGACAGCGGTAGCTAAGGCAAGCGGCAGCTAAATTCACCTAAAGAGGCTTTACCGCACCGAGTCTAAGAGCAGAGCCTCAAACCGAAATCCAAGCCCAAACTCAGTCACGAAAGTCCCCTTCCAAAGAGAAAAGTTGGACAAGCAGCCGCCAGAATGCTCCTCCTTTCCGAGCACAGCGTGGATCTGTTTAAAATTTCTGAATATGCAAAGACAGCAAGTTGTCTAAGCGCTTTTACAGAAAAGCAAATTAAACTTCACTCTTAACTTTGACTTTCTGGGCAGAAGTGCAAAGAATTCCCGATTCTTGGCTCCGAAAAAAGCATTTTTTTAAAAAAGAAAGCTTTTCTATCATCTAAAATGTAACTTTTAATCTGTGACATGCCTCATAAATAAAGTCCTGACAATTCACACACATACATAGACACAGACACACGGACATGATCTGAAAAAGCAAACGCTTGCACCTGTGAAAGAGAAGCATATCCCGAGTTTATAGTCACGCTTTAGAGCCGGGAGCCATAGGCAAGATTTAAAGGAATCTCTTAAAGCGGCGGCGTGGAAGCCCTGTAGAAGTGGAGGGTTTAGCTTAAGTACCTTGCAATAGTTTCTACCCGTACAGATATCTCTGCAAATGCATTCATCTCCCGAAGCTCGTTTTACAGCTCCCACAGAACTGCACATTCAGCAATTTGTAAATAACTCCCAGTTCTGAAACAATGAAAATTCTAAAGCGAATAACGACTCTAGGCAGAAGAAAACAGTACACAGTTTAAATACAATTCTCCAACGAGTTCAAAAAAAAAAAGTAAGAGATATTTACCTTCAAGAAGTCACAGAGGCAGATCTTAAATAATTGAGTTGGAAGACTGGTCATTTTCCCCATCGCTTCTGAAGTACAAAGTCTGGAAATGAAGTGGTGGGCAGGGATAACAAGGGGAAAAGAAATCCAGAGAGATGGGAGACGTTAGAGCAATGTCACATTTCAATTTTGAGGACTTTATTCCATTGCGCAGGCTCTATCTGCTCTGAATTTAGCAGTGACAGTGAGATTTAGCAAGCAGAAGAGGGATTTAGAGAAAATCCTCACATTTATCTACAAAACACAGACACTGTAGACAGGAAACAGCTGGGGGAACATTCGCCTTCTCTCTCTCTCCCTCTTCTGGCAAAGTTATCGAGTAAGGACTTTTTTGGGCAGTGTGACAAATAACATCATACCTTTGCTTTTAAAAACTGGAGCACAGAAGCGTTTCTCCCCCCACCCCCCAAAAGAATGTGTGTTTCTGACAGGGTTAGCAGACATTAAATACTGAGACTGCCGTAGAAAATAGGATCTGTTCTCTGATTAACTTTCCACGGGGCTTGAAGGTACACTTGTCTGCTAATACACCTCACCAGGATTAGAGCGGCATGGGAGCGATATTATATTTTAGGGAAAATGCAAAATTTGAAAAAAACACAATTTTATAAAAAAGGAAGAAAAGACCATCTCCAGAAAGCACAATGATGTTAACCCTGAAATGACCAGGGGAAACTAGGTTGAAAGCCAGCTCTGGGGGTTGGGGGGGAGCAGGGGAAGGGAAGGAGGTGACCCTTGTCCTAGTTGCCAAGCAAGGGGTATGATCTCATTTCCTAAACCTATAGACAGGCAGGCGGCAGTGGGCTGGCCCCCGTTAGGACACTGTGTCAAGCTTTGTGCAGAGAATCAGACTATGCCGAGCTCTGGGATGGATTGAAAAATAAAATGATTCTATTTTTCAACAAAGCTGGATGTCTGTCACCTCCTCGACCCCAAGGAAGCAGTACGGGAGCTGCATACTGTTTCTCATTGGCTGTATTCTTCTGCATAAACGTGTGCGTGGAAGTGGGGCACAGTTGTGCATGTTTATGTGTGTGTGCATGCATGTGTGTGTGTCTGTGTGTGTGTGTGTATTCCAAATAATACCAGCTGGCTAGCTCTCCAGGGTTATGATGTCATTCAAATCCCTCAACTGGGTAAGTGGCTGGCAGCATGGATCAAGCCGGCTGCCTCGCTATTTATAATGTATAAACTTGCCTTTGCCATAGAGAATCGAGTTCTGATCTTTTGTTGATACAGTTTGTACCTATTTCTCAGTGGTTTTCAGAGGCAATAGATAAGAAAGTGAATTATGAAAGAAGGTTACAAAAGCCCAGATTAGACGCTGCACTTTCCATGGATGTCTCTCCAGGTGTGTGTTCCCAGGGGAGATGGAAATGAGCCAGACTTGCATCCCTCTCTGAGTCTCTTGGGACTCTTGGGGGATTTGAAGGTACTGACACATCAGTGGAGACAGACGCCAGCTGGAAACTCCACACTGCCTCGTTCCACTGCCCCATGGCTAGAAATCTGCTTGGGGAGGTGATGGTTGTCTTCAAATGAAATCAGTTTGGTTTTGCAAGGGGTTTGGGCTTGGTCCAACCTTCTGTGTGGTCAATACTTCACAGCGTTGTTTACCTTTCAGACAGGAACATTAGAACCCCAGGGTGAGGCTGTTTCAGTGGTGGGTGGTGTTAGGTATCCATTGATGGAGGCATCATGTGAGGAGAGCACCTACTATGTACTCAACTACATATACCTCTGGAGAAGCAAGGGGAAGCATTCAACAGGCAGGGAGAGAGACACTTTCCTGCTGTATGTTGAGTGTGTGAAGCATGAAGACTTAGGAGTGGTGGGAGGGGGCGGCAGTTTCCTCAGGGAGGCAGGGAGTGGAAGGAAACAGGAGGAGGAGAGAATGCTGTGTGAGGAGCATTGGGGTGGGAAGCTCCCGTGGGTAGGTAGGACCGACTCTGAGAACACACAGAAGTGCAGCATCACCAGGTGGTCCTGCCAAGGCTGCAGTAGTGGGAAATCCCTGCACATGCAGCAACCCAAGGCTTCCACTAACAGGCCATCCTTAAGTACTTGATTTATAACAACTTATGGAGATCGTGTGTGTGTGTGTGTGTGTGTGTGTGTGTGTGTGTGTGTAAGAGAGAGAATGGAAGAGAGGGGGTGGGGGAGGGAGAGAAGGAAGGTAGGAGAGAGAGGGGGAAGGAGAGGGGGAAGAGGAAGGAGAGGGAAAGAGAAGGAGAGAGAGAAAACAGTCCACCCTCCTCTTTCAGACCTTGATGAATATATTATATGGAACCAAAGACAAAGACCTCCTGTTTTCCATTCTCTCTCAGTTGAGAATTGACAGGTCCTTGGTTTGTAAGTCTGGAGGATTGGGTCCAGGCTAGGCACCATCACCTACTTCTAGGTGCCTTTCGTTCAAGCCAGTGCTTTGAGTCCCCTCTTTCCAGTGTAGTTGTAGCAAACTTTGTCTGGAAACATTCTAGAATCTTACTGCATTTCTCCACATTTGTTACTCTTGACTATTGCCCTTGCTGTGCTGTGCTGTGCTGTGCTGTGCTGTGCTGTGCTGTGCTGTGCT